TAAATCAAAGAGGACAGTCAAAAAATGGGTTGACAATGTTGAAGGTCAGTTAGTGTGAGACCTCAGCACAAATCAATCCACCTGCTCTCCATTGACTCAAATCTTCTCCCCCATCCTTCGTTTGTCTTTTCCTCCTCATTCACGATTTTTTTTGCCTTTGGTTTTTTTAGTTGTTCTTATTTTTTTGTTTTTCCTCTTTATTTTATTTTCCCTTTTGTGCATCCTCTCTATCCTTTTTCTTTTCTGGTGCGGCGATATCTTTGTGTGCAACTTCGGCCCTTATTCCTAATGCTTTTTTTCTTTCTTTTTTTCTTTTTCCTGTTTCTTTGTTTTTTCGCTTTCCCTGTTTTTTTTGGCGTTTTTTCTTTCATGCTTTTGCTGCTTGTTTCTCTTTTCTTTTTTTCTTTCTACTCTGTTTGACTTTTTCCGTCCCCTTTTTCTCGGACATATTTTCTTTTAGCCAGTTTTTTTTAGCTTTTTTTGCTGTGCTTATTGTTTTTTACCTATCTGTCTTCTCGCATTTTTCGTCGATCCTTCTGCTAATGCGTTTTCTTTTCATCGTTTGTTTCGTCCTCAGCCACTGGCATTTTATTGTAATTTTCCTGCCATTTTTTAAATTTTTTTCGCCTGCTTTTTGTACATACTGCATGTATAACATTGTGTTATGTCGTCAACTTATCTATCGATTTTCTGAATTATTCCTAAAGCAGTGACTGCTTATTTTTATCCTTGCGCTTATCAGACATTTTATGGGTTTTTCTACAAGTCTTCCTGTTATTTCCCTTTCAGCCTCCACCTGGACTTGGCCGCCCCCGAAAGTGCTATTATCCGTCATCATCGCTATTTTGGTTGTCATTTTGATCATCATTGTCGTGTGCATCTTTGTCCTGGGCAGAGGCGATAGAAGACGGCGAAGCTGGTACTTCCTCCTTTTGCTTATCCCCTCTTAATTGAAACTCACTAGTGTTTCCTTAAGTCGATCATATCGTCATTTTACCTCTCGAAATCCAGGAGATTTCAATCATATGCATGAGATCTTGCTCGTACTTTTAGAAATGGCACACATATATCTGTCGTAATTGCACAAAGTGGCACGTTGATATTCGTCCCAAGATTTCGGAGGACTTCTTTAGTTCTTTAGTCCTGTGTGGTCGTGCGACACAACGTGTCTTTGGTTGATTTGCTATTCGTCCAGATCGAATTTACGGGGGTTTTGAATAGACAGCAAAATCTCCAATTTTCCAAATCTCATGTGTTCCTCAACAGGCTTAGCACTTTTACATGAGCTCCAAACTTCCTAGCCTGTCTGCCTTAATGTTTCGCATTGTTTGTAAGTGCTTGTTGAATTTCCCCTATTTACCTTTCAGCGCACGGGAAGCAGTGGATCACACTGCTTGAATGAATGTCAATCCGAACAACTCAGGGCTTTATGCCCTTCAATCATGTGGCAGACCATCAAGACATCCAAATTTCATTTGCATGAACTTAAACTAGTGTAAACTAATCCTTCTCATTAAAGTATTTTTTTGCATCTAATGCAGTATGAGGTAGAAGCAGTTGGCTTGGTAAAAAATTACATTATAGTCATTTAATTAATTGGTGTCATTGCATTCCCAGTTGCAGACTCATCGGCTGTTTTGTACTTTCCATGTGGCAAGCAGTCACTTCCTTGCATAAACCTATAAATCGTTAGGCGACCATGAACCTGCGAAAAATACTTTGTCCAGCCCCGAAACAGACAGTGATAGAAGTGGATTCGTCCTTTGCTTGAGGGGGGGGGCGGTTGAGGGATCTTGAATAAGTGAACACCGGTCCAGTCGTAAAATGCATCAAGTAGGTAACCTCAGACACTGAACAGACGCAACCGGCGAATTCTCAGTCAGTCGGTCAGTACAGTTGAGGGAAATAGGTATACGCCTCTGCACATAAAAGTCGATAAATAAGCAAAAATTTAAAGAAATTACAGCATTAAGTGAATACAGACATTGATTAACATACGTCATTGGTCTCGTGGTTAAAAAGTCGCATAATTCGCTTGTTTCTGAAGCATATGTCTGTCAAGCCGACATTTAAATTTCTCCACAGATTAAGTCAAGACAGTTTTCTCGGGCAGGATATTCCACGGTTCCACGGCACGGTCTCAGTAGAAGCGAAGAGAACAGCCCAAGTAGACAGTCGTGAAGAAGGAGACACGATCACTGGAGCAAAATCTTTCGTCGCCTGGCGTCTCGAATTTCTGCTTGAACCCCTCATCAAAGGCAGTAGCCGATACGGGTCATCCATGCACAAGGGACTGCAGTATTTGTAGGATGCAGTCTCTATGCTACCGCATACCTATGATAATTCACGGCTTCCTCTCATAAAAGAATGCTTAATTTGGTGTGACGGCCTTTTGATGACGATATTTGCGTTGTTAGCCGCTGCAATTTCATCAAGGGTGTTGCATGTTGGTGATGATTGCCCGGCCATCTGAGCCACCGACCCCGGCGTTGGGAATAGTGTTCGCTTGTACG